GTGTACATGGACACGCACACACACACACATACGTGCTTGAAGTACACACATCACGAAGCAGGCTGCAGGGGCTACTCTGCACGGGCTCTGAAGCCCTGAGTAACAGCAAAGTGAGCTCAGAGGAGTGAAAACATGTGTGATGGCATCGTGCGGCTGATCAAAGTGCAACCCTTCAGGGCGGACCATGCTGAATCAGGAGGACTTGAAAGTAATTTCTTTAACGACCGTCAGGACTTGTGGGCCACAGCGGTTCTCCTGTCCCTGTTGCGCTATGCACCAAGGGTGGCCCATCTCGTGTTCAGGGGGACTCCCAAGATGTGGGGCTCAGGGGAAGTGCTCATGCAGACTGGCCTCTGGGGGCTGGCCATCAGCCTGTGGCTGGTGGCCAGGTCACCTGGGCAGTGAGTTTTAGAGGCACAGAAGGGGCACCGGGATGAGCTCTGCAGGGCCCTGATGGCTCGCGATCAGGAGGTGATGAGAAAGTGGGGTCAGGTGAGGACAAGGACAGACAATATCCTGGAAACCACAGGCCGAGGTGCTGTGGGGTGGGCATGGGGCGTCAGCTATGACAAATGCTGCCGGCTGGCCAGAATGTGGGCAAGTGAGGGCTGACCACTGATTTCTGTGAGGCCAAGTCACTGCTGACCTCAGTAAGGGCAGCTTCAGAGACATGAGGAGCTCAAAGGCCTGCAGGGGTGGCTCGGGGAGAGGGAGGGGGGAGACGGGGGGAGAGCAGCAGAGGCATCTGTCATGCCACTTTTCCTTAAAGGCATCAGAAAATCCTGGTGCGAGGAGCCTAGTGTTTTTCAGGTGGGCACCGTCAGTTCTGGTGTTTGTGAGCTGGCCCAGTGGCCCAGGAGACCCACTGAGGCTGTGGGGGAGGCACCAGGAAGGTGAGGAGGGGTGGGACCCCATGCCCTCCCTTTGGGGCATTGATGGCTCCCCTTGGTGCAGCACCTGCAAGGTCTGGCAGACTCCTCCTGCCGAGGGCCGGATGGCTGGGTGGAGGGGTCAGTTCCATGCCCATGAGTCATTCCACACCACCCTTCCTACCCCGGCCGACACCCAGCTTCTGTTCCATGGCCAGGCACTACAGCTTCAAGTGGAGGCTGGAGTTCTCCTCTAAGCCTGAGCCCTGCTGCCCCCTGCCCATGGCCACCTTTCTGAGCACCCCCACCCCAGATGGATCTGGCCTCCCTGGGCCTCACCCCCGAGCCCCTTCAGACCCGAGCTCTCAGGAGCAGGCAGCTCCCCTCAGACCCCATCCATCTCTCCCACAACAGCCCGCTGGGCTGGGGCTGCGGCTCTCCTTGCAGGAAGTGAGCTTTCTCATCAGGCCAGCGTGGTCCTGACTCTCAGGGAACAGCGTAACTCTGCAGAAGTGAGGACCCATTGCTCCATGGGACAGCCCTTCTGCACAGCCACAGCGGATGCACGGGTGCGGGGTGAGCCAGCCCACGCCGGGTCCACGCCTGATGGAAACTCCCAGGAGGCTGCCAGGAAACAGGCTGGGATCTGGTATGGATGTGAAGGGGACGAAGACGGGGCCGTGTGCTGGGAAATCAACACAACCAACGGCGGTGGTGGGTAGTGTGTACAACGCATCAAGCTAGGGCAAAAGTCGAGAAGGGACTGAGGGGTCTGGTGGGGGCACAGGAGGGGACTTTAGTTCCAGCGTCAGTCAAGACAGAGCAGGGAGGGGTCTGGGAGGCTCACCAGAGGAGAGGGCTGAGTGCTGGCTTTCGCAGCTGGGAATGACTGGAAACAGGCAGTGCAGGGCCAGGCAGGCAGAGGCACGTGAGGGACAACAGGAGTGGTCACACGCTGGAGCCCGCGGTGTCAGGACTCTCAACCGGAGCCTGTAGGCAGGGCAGCCAAAGAAGGCCGTGCAAAGGCACAGCATGGCGAGAAGCAGGTTTAGAGGCTGAAGGGTGCCCTGGCTGGGACCACGCTGAGTCAGGGACTACTTGCTGCAGACGGCAGGGTTCAGGGACAAGCAGCAGAAGAAGGAGAAGGTGTCTACAGGAATCCTCAGGCTCTGAGTGCAGCACCGGCTGGGGTGCCATCTGAGGCCTGGCTGTGGGAGGAGATGCTGTGGGTGGGAAGTGGCGGGCACGGCCAGCACGTGCCGAGTTGGAGGTGCTGTTGGGCCTCCCAGGAGGCATCAAAAGCAAGGCTCTGCCGCTCAGGAACAAGGACCTGGCTGGAGACCCAGGTGTCCGGTTCCTGGGCTGTGATGGGGATTGACGCCCAGGAGATGGATGGTGTCAGCAAGGCAGGGTGCTCACAGCAAGAAGAAATGGGTCGCACGGGTCAGGCACACGAGTTACCATCACGCTGACATGGCTGGCCACTGTCCTCTCCTCTCCACCTGTCCGAGTCTCGCCCGCCCTTCCAGGCCTGGCCTCGCCCACTCCGGGCAGCCCTCCCTGCTGTGAGTGTCTCAGCCCGGTCGTCCACCCTCAGCACCGAGCCCTGTGTTGCAGCCTCGGCACAGACCGCACGCTCCTCTCAAGGCAGGATGGAGGTTTGCCCTGCTTTGCGTCATTGTATCTTCTGGCACAAAGAAGCTCAGAAGGCACTGATTCAATGGATTCTCCTTGATGAGCTGATTAGTTAATGGATCGATGGCTGTAACAGAAGTCAGGAAAAAGTCCAAGGAGAGCTTCACTGGTGAGAAACAGGCTCCGTGGTGTTGCCCCACACGGCACATCCTTCCTGATGATCACCGTGAACCAGCTCTGTGTGTGCAACACCGCGGGCCACGACTATTAGTGTTACCCCCACCGGAGCAGTCACCATCACGGCTTCTACCAACGACCTGGGGTTCTCCTGAGCACGAGGGAGGATTGCCCTTCCAACTCCCACGGGGACAGGTGAGGCCGGGGACTTGCTCTGGCCAATGAGATGTGAGCAGGAGCTTCAGGGTGGAGGGTGTAAGTAACAAGGCACAACTGGCTACTTCTCCTTCTGCCCCTCTTGGCCAAACTGGCTGGGATTCTCAGGGGCTCCAGTGGACAGAGCCACATTGCAGAACCTTCTCAAACGCGTATGGAGGTGAGAGATGGATGTGTGTCATGTCAATAAAAGGAAACAAGAAGAACTGAGTCTAAGGCAAAACCCTGCAGTGACGTCAGCTGGTGGTGTTGGGGGCTGCCTTGCTGACTTTGAGGTGGGACAAGTGCTCGGATAATTGGTCAGGTATCCCTAGACTCGTGCAAGAAATTTGAGGTACCCTCAGGTAGATGACAACTCAAGACACCCTCCCTTCCCCACCACATTTCCAAATACTCCTGGGGGCAAGGGGTGATACCAGGCCCAAGAGAGCCAGGAAGCAGAGGGACCACAGATGTGAGAGTGGGGGCCTCAGATGGGACAGCTGGGCCCTGCGGCATAGACCCCAACGTGCTGAAGGGGACGCAGTAAGGTGAGGGTGTGAGGAGGCTATGCCCAAGGCGGCGGGTCAGAGCGCGAGTCTTCCAGATGGAGACCGCGGAGACAATGGGCTGGGCTCGCTCGGCAGGTGAACCGCAGCCTTCCCAGGAGGCCCCCCAGCCTGCTCTGACAACCCTGCAGGTGTTATTGCCCCCTTTCTCAGATGAGGACACAGAGTTGGGAGTGGGGGCTGGGCTAAGGTGGAACGGAGGAGGTGGGGACAAGGCAGGAGGAAGTGGGGGTGGCTGTGCGGCTGCGGGGAGAGGAATAGGGCACTTGGGGGCTGCCTCGGGGCCTCTAGACTGGAGGCCCCTCCTCTTCTCACACATGTGGCACACGAGGCCGAGGGGGCCAGCTCCCCACCCACCGTCCACCAGCCAACACCCTGCAAGCTCCAAGACCGAGGCCGTCCCTGAGACAGGAGGGAAGCGGGGGAAGGAGCAATCCTGGGTCTGGATCCAAAAGACCAACGGAATGAGAGCACAGAGACACACGAGGGCGCTGTAGGCAAACAGCAAGAGCAGACAGGGTCGTCCCCAAGGGAGAGAGGCGAGCATTCTCAAAACCAGAGCCCAGTGTCGCCTGGCAAACAGGCCGCTGTGGGTATTTTGGGCAGTGCATGCCTGGGGCATTTGCCACCCCTGGCCCCCTCCCCATCATCACAACGACCCTCCTCCCCACTCTCCCACCCCTCGCTGGTCAGTGGCACAGGTGGGATGCCTGACAATCTCTGCTCACCCCCAACCTTACGGAGGCCTCTGGCGCCACCCACCCTGACAGCTTCCAGTGGCCACTCTCATGGGGACCCAGGGTGCGTTTTCCTCCACGCCGTTCTCCCTCAGGACTGTGGGACTGGAGCCACCCTGATCACACCGGGCACACAGACACAGCGACCCTGAGACAGACACCCCAGTCCCAGGGGCAAACACGTGGCCACACAGAACACGGCTGGCACAGACCTGCCCCCAAGCACGTCTGAAAGAGGGCACCCTGCCAGAGCCCAGAGGGCCCCCAAGGGTTCCCGAGCTACTAGGCACATTGGGCTGCCAAAGACAGGCATCAAAGGCAGATAACCAGGAATGATACAAAAAATACTCACCAACCAATGAGGCCCGCGCCCCGGCCAGCCAGTCGGGGAGCAGTGGGAACGCCAGCCCACGCAGCCCTGCAAATAGCCTCATCGGCAGAGCCCGAGTCTGCATGAGAAGCCAGGTGTGACAAGGCAGCTGCTCAGGCAGTTCAGAGGCGACCAAGAGAATGGCAGTGCGGACAGGACCTTGGAGACTTGCTATTACTCCAGGTGTAAGGGACCTGGCCAGGATCCAGGGAAGTCCAGGGCTGGAGGAAGACCCAGACCCCCACAGATCCTCCACAGACACCTGGCATCTCCCATCCCCAGCACGGCGCCCCTCGGAGGTCCTGAACAGAGGTGTTCTGCCAGTGCCACGAGGGTGGTGTCTGCTCCCGGCACCACTGGAGCCGCACGGCGGCAGCTGCAGGCACGGTGCTGCCCAGGGTGCGGGCGCCCGCGAGCTCTTACGGTGAAAACCAGATGTGTCTCTTACCCTCCTTCGAAGATTTTGATCCTCGCCGGCTCCCCTCCCTTGGAGGCAGGAGCGTCCTTCTCCAGCTTCCCTCGCGTCTCGTCTTCCTTCTCCACTCTAGCTATATCTTTCTGGCCTTCCGGGGACACCAGTGACGGGAGGTGAACCTGGCCCGCCGTGGGAACGACAAGATCATTGCATGTTAAAGTTGCCATTTTCGGTCAGGAATGTCACGACGGTAACATGCCGTCCTGACAGTGTGGTGCGTGATGCCGCCCCCACGCATGGGCTGCCTTGCTGCATGCTCACCCCCCTTGGGGCAGATGCACTGTGGGCCCCCATGTTACAGGACGAAGGGAGTTAACTGACCCCCAGCGGGTGAGGTCTCTCACGAAAGGCCGAGTTGGGGGCTGGTGTCAGAGCCAGGAGGCTGACCAGCGCTTTGGAGTTAGCCTTGCTACCTGAGCCATGTTTGCTCAAGGTCTTTTACACCAGCCTGGGAGCCCCTGTGGGTGTGTCCTCACCTTGGTCTCCTTGGTCACCCCACACCCCCAAACAGGGCCTGTCTCAGAAAGATCCTTGAAGAATATTGGATGAATACATAAAGATTCTGCCTTTGGAGATGAATTGGTTCAGAGAGTCAAGGTTACCCGGAAAGTTAAGGGCAGAACTGGAAACAAGAGCACAGCTCTTCTGCTTCCAGGCCCCTCCCGAGCTAGTGCCAAAGACCTGGAGCCAGGCCAACGGTCCTGACCTACATGACCCCAGGGATCCAGGCACAGAGAGGCTGTGCATGCTGGGGCAAAAACCTGTTCTCTTTACAGAGCGATGGGGTCTCAATGAGAGCTGGCTCAGTCGGGGAGGGATGGCTGTGACCTTGAGCTTTCTGGACCTCTTCCATCCTAAAGACAGGTCCTCTGATCTCTCCAGTGGCAGCATGTGGGGGTGCAGCCTCGTGGAGGGAGCAGTGATGCCATGCCAGGGGCCAGGGCCAGCAGCGCCTGGAGTGAGAGTCTCATGCTACTTCGCATCACTGTCATTAAGGTTTTGAGAGACCACATGGTTTCCAGTCACTGGGAGCAGCAACCACATTCTCTGGTGCTGGGGCAATCTAAGAACCGCCACCCCCCACACACCAGCTGCCACATCGGTGCCTACAGAGAGAGGGTGGGGCTGAGCAGGAGGGCACCTGGCTGGGAATGGGGATCTGGATGCAGCTCCAGACGGCCACTGCAAGGGTGGCAGCGGTGGGAGATGGGGAGTTGTTGTGCTACTTCACCTCTCTGGCCTCAGACCCTCAAGGGCATTAGGTGACCTTGAATAGCCATTCCAGGACCCCTTTCTACTCAGTGGTCCCTGATTAAGCTCTTCAGAATTGGAGGCAGGGAGTGGAAACCAAGCAAGAATCTAGACTGCTGCCTGAGCCGGGGGTCCTGGGCACGCCCTTTCTGCTGGGATCCAGGGCTCTGACCCAGACCGCCCATGGAGTGACCAAGGGCACCCTACAGGCTGACGGACAGCTATTGACAATCAGCTGCGAGGTCTGAGGGGTGTGGTGTGGGTAGCAATGCACCACCCTACCAGGAAACACAGTATCAGAATTGAGCGCGAGCCCAAGGGTGCATTTTGGCTTTTAATGATACCAGTATGAACAGGCAGAGCTAAACACATTTCCTGAGTGTCAACGTGCCAAGCACAGTAGCAAGTGTACTTTGCATATTTTAACTCATTTCATTAACCCCATAGAGTTAATACATGTTATTGTTATCCCAATTCTACAGACGAAGAACCCAGGGCACAGAGAGGCTGGGTAACTGGCCCGAAGCCAGAGAGAGTAGGGGAGGTAGTGCATTCCAACTTGGGCAACGTGGCACCTGAGTCCTTGCTCCTCATCTCTTTGTGGTGACAGTGCTGTGTGGTTGTCAAAGTGACCCCCAAGAAGAGTCAAGGAAGGAGAAGCCAGGGGCAAGGAATGTGGGTTCTCACAGAAGAGGCCAGAGGCAGAGTGGATCCCTACAGAAGCGTGGCTTTCTCCAGGACTTCCACAAGGGAAAAAAAGGTACGGTCAAACTCGAACATGGCATGGTGGCCCAGACACGCAGGGCGGCTGTCAGGGAGCTTCGCCACGTGAGGACCTTTTCAGAGTGACTAACACAGAAGGGAAGCGACAAGATGACAAATGGCAGCACAGGGTGCTCAGGAACTTCCTTAAAGCAGTGTCCAAAGGCAGACTGCATGGGAGATGGCAAGCTCCCACTGCTGGACACACGGGAGCAGAGGCCGGGCAGAGAGGCGGAACTGGAGAAAAGCCTCACGCCACAGGCCACGCAGTTACACGAATGCACCACGTCTGGCAAGAAACGTGCCAGTGGACCAAAGAGAATATTCCTAGAAAACTTTTTCAGCTTTTAGCTCGATCTAGGAAAGCAGCATCATAGATGAATGATGGTCAGATTCAATGGATCCAAATCACCACTTCCCTTTTCTTCAACGTCCTGTGCAATTTTCAGTCATTAGAAAATGGAGGAAGCCTGGATCATCCGAGGGGCTTTGGAGATCTAGGCTTATATCCAGCCTCTGCCACTAACTGCTGTGTGGCCTAGAGCAAGCTACTTAACCCCTCTGTGCCCTTGCATCCTCTCTAAAAAGGTGATTTACACCCTGACTTTAAAAGTGGTTGTGAGCATATTAGTTCTACATAACAGTTGGCACAAAACAGGTGCACCCAGAGTTGTAAGTAAAAACATAATTACAACAGCATGTTGGGAGTAGCCACAGCTGGTAAGACGCTGGAGAGTAGATCAGTGTGACATTTGTGGCAAAAGTGGGAATCATAGGGAGTAAATGTGGACAGCCATCCTGCAATGGCTGTGCAACCTAGCTAAGGTCAACACAACACAAAATGCACCCAGTGACACAACAATGAAGCTATGAATGTAGCAAAAGTTATGGAACCCAGCCTTGCTCACTCATCTACAACACACGTTTAATTTTGGGGATTTATGCATGATAGGGTCAAATCATCTGGTCTGAAGACACACTATTAACATCTTTAATTCTGAAAGCATCTTTGAAGGTTTTCTTTCCCCAAATAATTCAAGAGAATAAAGATAGACTCCTTGGAGTCAGACAGGTGTGGGTTCAAATTCTTGGCTTTCCAAACTTTTGCCATGTGACCGTGACCTCTCACCCTTGACCTGTCAGCCTCTCACCCTCGGCTCCCTCACCTGCAGAGTGGAGGTGGTCATGCCACCTCACAGCTCTGGGTGAGCACTGACCGGATGGCAGGACCCAGCACGGTGAAGCTGCTCAACAAGCAGGACCAGCTGTTATTCCACATATGCCAGTCAGCGTGACACAGCATGGCCTGAATCCTCAGGCTGCTCTTGTTAGGGTCTGAAGCAAATTTGGAATTACTGAAGCTCAAACTTGCAGGGGACTAGTTCATATTTTGGCTCCTACTGTGGACCAAAGTGAGAGGCAATAAGAGAGTAAATGTGAGTTCTTAGTGAGGGCCTAGTGGTCAGCATAGATGGGTCCAACTGTAAGAGGTATTGTCCCCTGGCTGGTGCAGAGGGATACTACAGATCAGCTCTGTTTGCTATCCTACTCACAGATAAGAAAGGAGGAACATTTCAGGAGTTGTTAATAGCAAATTTAGAACTCTGAAAATGGGAGTATTTCGAGTGGGCCTAGAGAATGGGAACAGCAGATATAGAGAGTAAGAAGGCAGGAGAAGTTTGATAAGATAAGGGAAAATCATTTGAATCAGGAATAGTATAAAGTTTTAAAATGTCTAAAGGCACTCCCATTGGCAAAGTTTTCCAACTCAGTCTTTTGGAGAATTGCGTTTGCCTTGTTGATATCTTTGATTTTACAGTAGAGGCTCATGGAAAAACATTATTGCTTTATAACTAACTTATCAAAAAGCATCTATTCCAATGATTTGAGGGACACACTGACAAAGCCAATAAACATATTTCCTTTAAGATGAGCAGTAACAAATGCTACAGAGAAAATCTTCCCACTCAGTTGGTTTTAGTTCTGCAAATGGAACCAGAGGACAATGTGGCTTTAAAAGCTCACCAAGGGCTTTTTAAGCTCAGCAGTGAGAAGAAAAACAAGACTGAACTTACCTCTGTCATGCGGGGCTTGCGGGAGCTGGATGGCACAAGCCTTCCTGCCTCAGGATGCGGAGCTGTGGCCATGGTGTATGTCTCTTTGCTCACCTTCTGCTTAGACCTCAGGAGGGACAAAGCAGCTTTAGTGGAAACCCCCGGAAGGTTGGGGTTGTACAAACTTATGCACCAACCAGCGTAAACAGAGGACCTCCTATCTGCATGCTGGATGTGATTTGGCTTAATGTAGTTTAAATAGCACCAACTGACATTAGTGGTCGTGTGGAGGCTGGGGAACTGCAGTACCTTCTTTGAGTCCATACCTTCTTGCGGCTTGGCTGGTCTGGGGGGCGTTTCTGACAGAGGCAGAGAGCTGGGAAGTGCTAAGGGAGGGAGGTCAGGTTGTTCCTTGGGGTCTTCTTTCTTCACGCTCAGTGGGGGCAGCCCTCTTCGGTGAGGTCTGCCAGTTGGCTGGGCACATTCTCTCAGAGCTTCAGAGCCTGGGTCTGTCCCGGGAGGCAACGTGGGATGGGGCAGAGGAGGAACTTCCTTTGGGTGAGACGGGTCTGAGGACAGGCTGGACGCTGCTTCTAGCTCCCTCCTGCTCTGGCCCTGACTGCCTACGTGGGGTCTCTCTGGCCTCTTTCCATCCTCGGGGCTGGGAAGCGCCACGCTGCATGGCCTCACCAACTCCAGTTTTTCGTCTGCCTTGGAAGCCTCCTCCTCCTTCACCCTTTTTTGCTGCTGGGTTTCCATGGTGAGTTCAAGGCTGCCAGCTGGGGAAAGGACACGTTTGCTTCCCCCTGCGGTGGATGAGCTCCCCTCCAGGCTCAAGACACTCTCTGATGACAGGGAGGGGCCTTTCCTTTCGGGCAATGTGACAGGCACTCTCAGGTATGGAGTCGGGAACCCTCTGCTATGCTCGTCACTTAACCCAGATGGTCCCGGCTCCACCTCATACACCTCCGCCCCACGTGCAGCTGTCCCTGTAGACAGGGGCTCCTCAAACTTGGCAAGAGATGCTGTGGCTGTGCTGCCTGGGGACTGGGTGACCAAGATCTGGGAGAGGGTGGTGTACATTGCACTCCCATAGGATGGCATGTTGGTCTGAATGCGGACGGGGACAACCAGGGACACCATGGCATCCGGACAGGCGGGCAGGGCCAGCGGAGGGGCCGATGTGGGTGCCGAGGAGCTGGCTGGGGGAGCCCCGGGGGGCAGCTGGACGTCGCTGCTGTACGCTGTGCTGGAGGAGGGGCCGGCGGTTCCTGTGGCCAGCGGGGCCAGGCTGGTTTTGATCAGGGGCAGGTGGCTCTCCACATCGCCAGGGAGCTGAAGCGCAAACTGGGATTGCAGCGGCAGGAAGAACCCCGGGGAGAGTGCTGATGAGGAGGGGTATGGCATGGGGAGATACGAAGGGGGCTGCCGGAAGGGGATGCTGGCAGGATGAGGCATGAGCTGCGGGAGGTGGAGCTGGCCTGGGTGCAGAACTGTAGGTTGGAGAGGAAGCGGTGGGGCTTGAAACAGAGAGGGAGGAAGTGGGGGCACGGAGTACGGCGAGGAGAGGAGGCTGGACATGGCCTGGGTGGAGAAGAACTCTGGAGACTGTCCGGGCTCATGCTGCAGGAGGTGCTGGAAGGAGAAGAGGGAGACGGGCGGGGGCAGGTACGGTTTCTCCGGCAGGGGGAGCTGCGCCACGGGGTGGTGCAGCACCTGCAGTGCCTCTGTGTAGGGTGGAGGAGAGCCCCTCGGGGGCCGGTCCTGCACCTGGCCCTTGCCTCCAGAGTGCCCGCTGTGCGAGGGGCCCGCCGAGGAGATCTGGGGTAGTGAGCTTTTGGTGGGAGGTTTGCCGGGCGAGGGCTGTGCTTCCTCACTCTCCTGTCTCCCCTTGGGGGCGGCCTCGGCCTCGGCTTCTGGAGGCCTGCTCAGAGAGGCCTGTCTCACCAGGAAGCATTTCCTTCTCTCCGGAGGAGCTGCTGGGGCTGGGGGCCCGGCGGGGCCTGGCGTGGGAGGGCCTGCGGAGGACAAGCTGCCGTAGTCGAAGGATTTGCTGCGTGTCTCGGTCATGTGCGCAGAGTGGGACACGTTGGGGCTCTGCTCCGAGGCTGACCTGCGCATCTCTCGGGCGTGTGGGTGGTGGCTGGGGACAGTCAGCATGTGGGTGCCCAAGGGCTTGGGGCGTGTGTCGGAGGAGGGGCCAGGGGCCTCTGCTTTCCCGTGCTCATCCCTCTCGAAGGAGGCCGAGCGGCTGGACCCGCTCTCCTGGCTGGGGCTGCGAGACAGAGGCACGGGCGACTCGAAGCTGGACTCGCCCGACGACTGGGCCATCTCTGCCAGGCGCAGCCTCTTCTTCTTGGGCGGCAGCTTCTCGGCGGGGAGCTGGGCGAGCGTCTGGCTGCGCTGGGGCCACTGGAACTCCTCTGTCTTCTCGGGCTCCTTCAGGGGCGGCTCGGGCTCCGTGTCGGGCCGGTCAGGCTCCTCGGTCACCAGGATCTCGGGAACTTGAATGTTGGGCTGCCGGACCAACCTGGGCTGCAGCGAGTGTGGCGGGCGTGTGTGGGCCGAGGCGGCGGGGTGCGAGGAGAATGGGGCTGGAGGCTTCTCTTCCCCCTCCGGGCCCCCGGGCTGCTCCAGGGAGTCGGACTTCTCGAAGGAGCTGGTGTGCTGGATGACGGAAATCTCTTTGGACGTTGTCCTCCTCTCCTTCCCTGATTCCGCACCGGGCCCTGGCTTGGGAGTCCTTGGCTGGAAGCCCAGGGGTCCCTCCAAGGGCGGGCCTGATTTACTTGGTTCTGCTGGTGACTTGGTGGACTCCAGGGGAAGGTTCCGAGCGGCCTCGGACGACGGCCCGGCACTGCCCAACTGACTTTTTGTCGACTCGAAGGCAGGTGGCTCTTCCTCGTCCCCAAGGCTCTTCTCTTTCCTCCTCTTCCTCAGGGGCGTGAGCTCCAGGGTGGTCCCCAGTTTATAATGCATCATCTGGGACCACGGCTCGTGCTCTGCCTGGCCCTTGTCGGCCTCGGGGGGTGGGTGAGCACCCACAGAGCTGGGCTTGGTGATCTGCAGCTCTGAGCAGTAGTATTTCTTGTGGGCTTCGTAGTTGTCCCTCTTCTTGTAGCGAGCACCACATATGTTACATTCATAGACAGCCCCTTTCGTCTTCAGCCCTTTCTTGGTCTTTTTGCTGAGTTCGCTCTCCTTGGGCTCCGGTTCCTCCGAGGGTTTGGAGGCTGCCTCTTTGCTGCTTGGGCCGGCCTCCTCGGAACTGTACTCGCCTCCCAAAGGTAGTTCGATGGCCGGCTGGCGCTTCAGCATCCGGGGGTGGGAGGTAAACACTTGACTGCTGCGGCTCAGGGTGTCGGAGTCGGTGACGTGGTCATCGAAGGAGTAGCTACCTCGGAAGGTGGGGTGGGGGGTGCTGATAGAGCAGGCGGCCGAAGGCATTGAGTGGCTTCTCAGGAGAGGCACAGGAGGGGTGGTGCTGGGCGGGTGCTGGAGGCTCAGCAGCGATTGCTTCTCGCCGTGGGGCAGCAGGGGCTCCCGGTAGAGGCTGGACTTGGGAGACTCCATGCTGCTGCGCCTCGAGAGCGAGCTCCTCCTGGGCTTCACGCTGTCGATCTCGCTCGTGTCCACCACGGCCTCGTTGATGGTGATGAGCTTCGTGATGTGCTCGATCACTTGCGTCCGGGGCACAGACAGCGGTACCAGGCTGGGCTTGTCTTCGGTGGACAGGGGCAGGAGGGGCTGGGTGGAGGTGGCCGTCAGCATGGCGGTCCTCTGCCCGATGCGCCCGCACTTACCAAAGATGATCTCGGCGTAGGACTTGGCGTTGGTGTTGGGGGGGCTGGCCTGCTGCTCGGCGCTCTCGGAACGGGAGAAGTAGCCCGACTCGGTGCTGCCTTTGCTGCCCGGGCTCAGGAAGGCCTGCTCGTCGATCACCTTCTTCCTCTCGCTTAGGCGGAGGGCCAGCTTCTGCTTAATCGTGTGGGTGTCTTCAGGTTTGTGGCTCTGGGGGTGCTCGGAGGAAGGTTCTGCAAACGCAGAGGGGTCCTCGAGCGACGGCGCCGAGCTGGACTGGGACAAGGAACCGCGTTCGTGGCCGGAGCCGTGGCTCCCGGAGCCGTACACAGCGCTGGAGAGCAGCGGGTGCTTGGGCCTGGGGGAGAGCTCGGCTGTGTGACTGGCCGCGGTGCCCGTCTCCTCTTCAGAGTCTGTGCTTTCTCCCTCGGTGGGCTCCTCGAACTCCTCCCCGGGGAGCCTCTCCATCTCCAGCCCCGGCGGGTACACCTCGCCGCCCATGCCCGAGGCCAGGCCCGCTTTGATGCGGTGGGCGTGGGACTTCCTGTGCTTGTAGAGGTTGCTCTTGGTCTTGAAGGAGAAGCCGCAGGGGCCGCAGGGGTAGGGCCTCTCGCCCGTGTGCGAGCGGATGTGCTTCTGGAGCACGCTGGGCTTGGCGCAGGGCCGGCTGCAGTACTGGCAGATGTACTTGCCCGGCTTCTGGGGTTTCCTCTCCTTCTTGGGTGCCTCTTCCGTGGGCTTCAAGGTGACCTGGGAGGGCCGGGGCACAAAGACCTTGGGGATGCCAGGCAGGTCCTCGGCGGGGATGATGGAAGCGTGAGGAGGCAGGAGCTGGCCCTGAGGGTGGAGCCCAGGGGCCACAAAGGAGCCTGAAGGTCCGGGTCTCATGGGGTCGACCAGCTGCCAGGTGGACCCTTCCAGGAGGTGCTTGGGTTTGCCGGGCGACATGAATGCTGGTGTCAGAGGGTGCTGCGGAAGCTGTGAGATGTGGACTGTGGCCTCAGCCGACGGCCTCTTGGGGGGCTTCTGCTGCTGGCCCGTTTTCTCCTGAGAGCCTTCCCGGAGGGCCGAGGAGGGGCCCGGGAAGGGCTGCGGGGCTAGGAGCTCCTGGGGCGTGCTCTCCTGGGAGGCAGCGGTGCCGCTGCCTGGGTACGGGACGCCGGAAGTGACGCTGGGCTGCACGGCCTCTCCTTTGGTCAGCCGCTTCCGGGGACTTCCCTCCGCCTTCTTGGTGCCCTTAGCACTTTGTTCAGGATCCATGACCTTCGGAGAGATTTCAGAGGCTATTCAGGGAGGGTCCGGGCAGGCTGCATTTACGAGCAATCCGGGTGTCCCAGAGGGAGGTGTCCAGCTTTGGCCGAGAGCTGTGGAAGTCAAACCCCAGACGGCTTTGGAATTTTTTTTTTTTTTTTTTGCAAGTGTCACTGACTGCAAGTGACCTCAGGGCAGGTCATACTGGTGAGGCATGGCCCTCTACTTCACAGACAGGAAACGCACCGGCACTTCCTGCCTGCATGTCTGCCGGGAACACGCCATGTGGGATGTCAGTATTGCCATCGTGTGGTTGCAGTTGGCAGTGGCAAGTGGTCCCTAAGAGTCCCCCGTGTGCTATGCGAACAGCTGAAGGTGGGCGATGTCTGTGTCCATGGCCCAGTCATCCCTGGTCCTGGCACGAGAGATGCCACACTGGATGCTGGGGCGGCTCCCTTCCGGCCTCTTCTCTCCCGTGGTCCCGTGCTGGGGATCAACAGTCTTGGATGAGAAGTGACACTCTTCTGCTTGACAAAAGCACACACACACACAAAAGAGAAGAGACGGTTACCGTCACTTGTCCATGGCCTGGGCAGCAGCTGGCACTTGTGGTCAGACCTGCCTGAGACCCCTGGAAGGTTAAGCTCAACTGGAACCGCAGACCCTAACTCTGTGTACCCGAGCACCACCCACCCTTCCCTCGCCCGCTTCTGCCTGGGGGGCAGGTGGCTCCGGTGCCGAGGTGTTTCTGGGTCCTGAGGCCCCAGGGGGCACTGGGGGCAGGAGGCATGTGGGCTCTGGCACCTGCAGGGCAGCGAGGGACAGGGGCTTGGGCTCTGCCATCCACTCAGATTGGGTGTGAGTGCGCTCAGCCTCAGTCGCCTCATCTCTACGATGGGAAACAGTGCCCGCTCCACCGCACACCCAGGCTGCAGGCGGCTCTGAGCAGACAGGGTTGGCACATCACAGTCAACAGAGTGGCTGCAGATTTCCAGACTGGACACTTGAGAGAGTGAGAGGGGCCCCGCTACTCATCACAGAGGAGCAACAGGAACAAAGCAGGACTGTCCCAGGCAAGCCCTTACGGCCAGCTCAACGGAGACCCGACACATGGGCCAAGCACGTCTGGGCCTCTGCTATGAACCTCAGATCTCTGCTGTCCCTAAGGACTGCAATCCCACCACAGTCCCCTGATGGATTCTCAAGGGACCATCGCGTCTGACCCCCTCGCTTGACAGATGGGGAGGCTGAGGGCTACATGCAGGATGTGACTTCCCCAGAAAACCACGCAGGAGAGCAACAGAACTAGGCCACCCTACGCCTCCAGGGCCCCAGCCAGCCTCGCCTCCCACCTCGATGAGCAACGTCCTCTGAGGCCCTTGTGGCACAGCGGGTACCGGGATGACCCAGGGCACCACAGCAGGAGCATCAGGAGCCATCCGGGATCTGAACAGGGGAGCTGGCCTCTCCATATATGGCCTGGATGCACTGTGGCTGCTGCAGGTGGCGGGGGGACTGGCTGGGGTCGGGGAGCCAGTCCCGATAGCGCCAGCCCAGGCCTGGCCTGCCCAAGCTTGGGTGGGCAGAGGCACTGAGGTGTGCTGGTCAGACAAGACAGAAGTCATATGCAGACAGAGCACTGTTCTCTGAGCTGAGCGGGGCTTCCCAGGCTGGCTGCACCTGTGTTGGGGGAGGCCCATAGGGCACCATGGATAGCTAATAAAGGGAGACTATACTTACTATTTCTACTGACCCCTTCCTACCCGGACCTCAGAGCATCCAGAACACTAGCTAGTGGCAAGCTTTGCTTCGTATGATGGACGGACGGGTGGCTCCTGTGGCATGGGTGGGCGGTGATGAGTCTGAGTAGGGGTCAGAGGGCCAAGGTGGCCCCTGCATGATCTGGGCCTGTGGTGGTGGTCCCTGCCCTAAGCCACGGGGCTCTGCAGGGGCGGGAGGGGGAAGTGCCCAGTGGCTGGGGTTTGGTGTAACTCCCAGGGCCAGGTGGGAGGGGCAGGGGCTGAGAGAGAGATGGTCAGGTGACTGTTACGTCATCAGGTGACTCACTGGGCCAGGACCACCTGCCTGAAGTCTATGTGTGGACGACACCTGTGAGTGGGGCCTGGTGCCCCTCCGGGGAAGGGTCTCCTGCCTGACCCACCAAGGGAAGAACAACCAGGCCACCCAGTGTGCAGCCAGGGGGTCTTCATTTCACACAGAGGGGCAAGTGAGCCACAGTGGGGACCACCGGCCCAGGCTTCCGGGACCAGTGCTCTCTGCCACCTGGCTCTTCTGTGTCCCGACAGGGCTGAGGGGCAGCGAGAGAGGTAGCTGGGACTGCAGGTGCAGGAGAACCTGGCAGAGCGCAAAGGAAGGCAGTCCTGGAAGTGCGCCTGTTGAGACATGGCATAATCAGTGTCTCGCTGAAGCCCCGCACTCCTTCAGAAGGGTTGCTCTCGTCACTGTGACCAAGAGACACCAAGGAAATGACTCAGGGGTTTTGAGGGTATGCACGAGGCTTTAGCATGAGCTCGGAGTGCCAGAGGAGAAAGGTTGCTTCTCCAGGAACTGGAGCGGGCACCTGTAATAGTCACCAGAGAAACGGGCTCAGAGCTTCCCTGACAGCGCCCAGGAGCTGGGCCAACAGGGGCCCGAGCTAGGGAAAGAGGAAAAACATCATCTGCTGGAGGTGGAAGAATGGCCATGGGGTCCACACTGCTGGCCACTGAGGCCACGGCCCCCAGGGAGCTCTGGCTTAGATACAGAATCACCAAGGTAACCTGAGCTTCAATTGGCTAACACAGCAACTTAGCTCCTACTTCTAGAAGCTTCCATAGATACAGCAATTAGAAACACCCAACAGGGAAGAAGCAGAGCTTGTGGGGCTGGAGCCACAGAAGCCTCAGGGGAGTAGGGGGGGATGGAGGAGCCAGCAGGGCCAAGCCGAGGCAGCCTGAGGCTGGCACCTGAACTGAGAGGTACCGCCTGCGTCCCAGGCATTGGGACCCCATGGCCACAGCTCAGATGGACGTGCGGGGGCTCCACCAGAGGGGGAGATGGGAGGTGGGCTAATTGGGTGGACAGCTCTACCAGAGCTTGTGGGAGGCCAGCCTGAATGTGCCTTAGGCTCTGACTGAGGAGCATGGGCCCCAAGCCAAGGTAGATAAGGTGGAGGTGAGAAAGGGGCGGGGCCTGCTGCCCAAGGAGCTGTGAGGCAAACCTGACCCCAGACCTGTGAGTTTAAGAAAGATCTTTGTTTGTAATTTACTTAAACACACACACACAGACACACACACAGACACACTCACCCCAAACACACATACACAGACACACACGCACAGACACACACACACCCCAAACACACTCTTCAATATATCAAAATCGAGCCACAAATTTTACTGACAGTAGTAAAACATGAATCTCAAGATACCAATAAAGCAAACCTTCCACTTAACTTGCATAGGTGGGGACTCAGTACAAGACCACAGGCTGGACACGAGGCAGGCACTCTTATTTAATAATCCCACAACAGAACCACTGTCCTCCCTTGGGATTCTTTGTGTGCAAGGCTCATGCACGTGTGTGCATTTGCATGTATGTGTGCAAGACACAGCATGATTCTTCCCCTGCAAAGAAGTGTAAAAGTGGCTGTGGGCTGGGTGGTGACAAGATGGGCCAGCCGTGAGGACACGGGTTGAGAGACTAATGGGGGGATCCGGCAGAGAGCCACAGCAGGAGGTCTGGACAAAGAGGGTGCCCAACGCCAAGGCCAAGGATGGGGCTCTGGCTGGGAATGAGAGAGGCGGCAGAGACCATGTGTTTCTCCTACCAGCCATTTCCTTTAGTATTCGAAGGCCCCTGAGCTTTAACTGGCTCCATGGCCACCCAGCGAGATCCGGTATCTCCCGGGCTTCCTTGCAGCTGCAGCTGCAGCACCTACATCATAGCTGGAAGGAAAAGTGGGCGCTTTCACTTGCCCATTTTCTTAGGAAGGGGCAGGGAAGCGGTGGTGGTGACACAGCCCTAACTTCAGGGACAAGAACAGTACCCAAGGGACAGCAGGGCCAGAGGACAGCGCCATGCTGTGAAGCAGAGACACCTGTCTCCGAGAGAGAAACACAGCTCTGTCTGGCTGAAGCCACAGTGACTTGGTTCCTTTCAGAGCAGTTGAATAAACACACTGATGTGTATGGTGGTCCCTAGGGAACAGGGAAGGACCTGCCGGAACCTCTGCCACCCTTCAGAGTTGGCAAGTGTCCCTTGGCTCCCAGCCCCTTGCATCCTCCAGGATACACCTTCTCACCCCAAGCTCTTCCAACATTGACTCCCCTCTTACTTGCGAGGACTCTGGGGATTTCTTGGGTCCACCCAGATAAACCAGGACCATCTCCCCGTCCTGAGAGCCTCAGCCACAGTCACAAAATCATATTTGCCACGACAGAAGGCATATTCACACGTGCTGGGGACCATCATTCTCCCTACCATAATGGTAACTTTTTTTAAGATTTATTTACATATTTGAGAAGCAGCATTCCAGAGAGAGGATGAGACAGAGAGTGAGCTTCCATCTGCTGGTTCACTTCCCAGATGGCCATAATAGCCAGGATCCAGGAGCTTTATCTGGGTCTTCCACATGGGTGCAGGGGCCCAAGGACTTGAGTCATCTTCCATTACTTTCCCAGGGCACAGCAAAGAGATGGATTCGAAGAGGAGCAGCCAGGACTCCAACAGGCACCTGGGATGCTGGAGCTACAGCACAGCGCCAGAGACAGCCCCTATGACATCTTATTTTAAAAAATACTTATTCCTTGATATCTTAGCCAGGCTTAGCATTTTTGCATAAATTTATGAGCCAGTTATTTCACCCAGGGGATTACTTTTCATATCCTTTGCTTATGTTTCTAATGGGTTATATTTTTCTTACTGGTTTATAGCAGTTCCATTGGTACTGGGGATTCTTTATACACAAGGCTGCAAATAGCTCCTCCTATTTGTAACTGGCCTTGAACTTGACTGTATAGACAAATGTATCATCAGTTTTCCTCTTAGGACTTTTAGGTTTCGTGTCTGAAATGGTTTTATAGAAAATCAATTTTCTATATAGTTCCTGTCTGACTCATCTTTCCCTTCCCTCCTGCCCCAGCTCCCTCCTGCCTGTCTACTGCCATCCTGGCTCTGTCTGACATGTATGTGGGGATAAGGAATGGGCTATCCAGGTGCGCTAACACCAGGATTGAATGGCCCATCCCCCTCTCTAAATGTCCCGGGCATCGGGTCCTCACCCCCAGACAGACCACGGAAACAGGCTCGCAGGAGAAAGGGCCCCGCACCTGTGAGCTTGTGAAGCCCTCCAGGTCAGTCTGACACACAGCTTTCTTTTCTGCAGACTGAGTTCCTCTAACTGCCTCTCTAAGGAGTCCCCGGCTTAGAGCTCTCCCTCCCAGCCCCACTGCACCCCATGATGACGGTGGAAAGGGAAATCTCTTCACCTGCCAACTCCCCCCCTTCACCCAACAAGTACCCT